CACCTAGATCTCACTAAACCGCCAAAAAAAAACAAAAAAAAACACGATCCAGAGATCATCCACAAGAATCGCCGAGTACGAGGAATTTATGCTAAAGCTTCCACAAAAAAATCACCGTTCAAGCAACAGCTTATGCTTCAGAACGTTCAGCTATGATTTAAAAGACAGATGTACGAAACCCTTTTAAGGGATAACAGCTCCTCAAGAGCTTCAGTTTCAGAATGTTGAGCTATAATTCATGATATCGAAAGTTGAAGGGTACAAAATGTCCATTTTCAATAAAAAAATATAATATGTATAAATATCAGGCATAGAATGATAAATGTTTCCCAAACAATTGCTTTTACAGGAAGATAAATTGAAAAAAAGACTAATTTGAAGGGAAAAAAAAATATTCTCCCCTTCTTTCCGGCTTGATTTGTAACTTGATGTGTCTTTATTGTCTCCGCATTCAACAGAGGTATAATGTCCTCATGAAGAACCTTTATACAATCACACGATCTGGTGATGATGAACTTCTTGTTCTCTCTTTTTTGTTGAACAATTAGATCAGTTTTTGAACGATTTGACAAATTTATCTGTAGCAGCGTTCACAAGCGAAATGAAGCACGATTGCTTCCCTGGTCTCCTGTTTCATAAACTCCAGGCCTGATCTCCTGTTTCATAAACTCCAGGCCTGAGTTCATAAGACGATGAAACCTCTCCAAGCCGCTAGCTCACCTAGATCTCACTAAACCGCCAAAAAAAAACAAAAAAAAACACGATCCAGAGATCATCCACAAGAATCGCCGAGTACGAGGAATTTATGCTAAAGCTTCCACAAAAAAATCACCGTTCAAGCAACAGCTTGTGTTTCAGAACGTTCAGCTATGATTTAAAAGACAGATGTGTGAAACCCTTTTAAGGGATAACAGCTCCTCAACACTGTCCATTTTCAATAAAAAAAAATATAATATGTACAAACATCAGGCATGGAATGGTAAATGTTTCCAAAACAATTGCTTTTACAGGATGATAAATTGAAAAAAAAAGACTAATTTGAAGGGGGGAAAAAATCAAAGTTTTACAAAAGCACTTTCGGTATCTATAGCAAGTGCTGACGTTCCAGCATACGTGGTTTGAATTGTGAAAATTTTAGATATGTATACTACATATAGACTGAGCTGCTCTTGGCTAAATTCTACCTGGTCTGGAAAGATTATAAGATGCCTTATTGGGTGTCTTCCTCAGTGTGTCTGTTCGCGGGAAATTTATAGAACAATCTCTACAATAAATTATAAAATTCAAAGGCTTCACAAGATACTGAAGAAAGTTCCCAGCAACGTAGCTTTAATCCACCACGCACACCCATAAAAGTAAATGCAGTAAGGCCTCTTGTTGGGACACGAAGTATGGATCCAGCAATTGAAGAACTTGCGTAACGCCAAAAAAACAAAAAACAAGGAAAGAACTTGAAGAAGTGACAGATCCGTAGTATAAAGTTCCATCTTTGAAACTTACTCGTATATAAAAAACAAAACTTGTGTGAAACCCTTTTAAGGGATAACAGCTCCTCAACACTGTCCATTTTCAATAAAAAAAAATATAATATGTACAAACATCAGGCATGGAATGGTAAATGTTTCCAAAACAATTGCTTTTACAGGATGATAAATTGAAAAAAAAAGACTAATTTGAAGGGGGGAAAAAATCAAAGTTTTACAAAAGCACTTTCGGTATCTATAGCAACTGCTGACTGTTCCAGCATACGTGGTTTGAATTGTGAAAATTTTAGATATGTATACTACATACAGACTGAGCTGCTCTTGGCGAAATTCTACCTGGTCTGGAAAGATTATAAGATGCCTTATTGGGTGTCTTCCTCAGTGTGTCTGTTCGCGGGAAATTTATAGAACAATCTCTACAATAAATTATAAAATTCAAAGGCTTCACAAGATACTGAAGAAAGTTCCCAGCAACGTAGCTTTAATCCACCACGCACACCCATAAAAGTAAATGCAGTAAGGCCTCTTGTTGGGACACGAAGTATGGATCCAGCAATTGAAGAACTTGCGTAACGCCAAAAAAACAAAAAACAAGGAAAGAACTTGAAGAAGTGACAGATCCGTAGTATAAAGTTCCATCTTTGAAACTTACTCGTATATAAAAAACAAAACTATACCATATGCGGCTTCTCATACATCAAGAAGAAGCCTACGAGGGTCCTCCACAACATCTTTGATGCGGCGTAAGAAATAAACAGCCTCCCTTCCATCTATCAGTCGAAGATCATATGGCAATGCAATGTACATCATTGGCCTCGAGACTATGTTTCCCCCAACAACCATTGGCCGGGTGACTATAGAGTGCATGCCAAAAATAGCAGACTGCAAGGAAGAGGGAAATCAAGTTAAAGAGGATTTTTTTCCCCATCAAGGAATAAAACCAAAAGGTGTTGTTTGTACTCCGTATGGAGCAATACCTGAGGAGGGTTGATAATTGGCATGCTCAATAAACCCCGCCATTAGATATTGTGAATTGTTATGTGTGGTCCCATACCATGTGATGGTGGGACCATCACATTAAATGTCATGTGATGATTGTCTCTTAGTGTTAATATTATTGTGGTTTAGGTACTGTAGCTATAGTAAATGCAGTAAGGCCTCTTGTTGGGACACGAAGTATGGATCCAGCAATTGAAGAACTTGCATAACGCCAAAAAAACAAAAAACAAAGAAAGAACTTGCAGAAGTGACAGATCCGTAGACTCCGTATAAAGTTCCATCTTAGAAACTTATTCGTATATAAAAAACAAAACCATACCATATGCGGCTTCTCATACATCAAGAAGAAGCCTACGAGGGTCCTCCACAACATCTTTGATGCGGCGTAAGAAATAAACAGCCTCCCTTCCATCTATCAGTCGATGATCATATGTCAATGCAATGTACATCATTGGCCTTGGGACTATCTTTCCCCCAACAACCATTGGCCGGGTGACTATAGAGTGCATGCCCAACATAGCAGACTGCAAGGAGGAGGGAAATCAAGTTAAAGAGGATTTTTTTTCCCCATCAAGGAATAAAACCAAAACGTGTTGTTTGTACTTCGCATGGAGCAATACCTGAGAAGGGTTAATAATTGGCATGCTCAAAAGGCTTCCATAAACCCCGCCATTAGATATTGTGAATGTACCTCCAGCCATCTCGGGTGTTTGGTTGTTCCGAGTTTTCCCAACATGAATGTACCTCCAGCCATCTCGTCAATTGATATGGTACCATCAGTTGCTTTCTTAGCTAGAGTGTTGATGTTCCTCTCTATCTCAGCAAAGTTCATTTGATCAGAATTGCGGATAACTGGACAACGAGGCCCTTCATTTGGGAGGAGGGGAGATACTCAGCAAAGTTCATTTGATCAGAATTGCGAATATCTGCGGATAACTGGAACAACAAGGCCCTTCATTTGGGAGGAGGGGAGATGTGGTTAGGTGGTTCTTTCATTTTCTGTTGTCCCAAAGCAGGTGATCAATCAAGATAATAATGCTTAATTTGTATTATTTGAAGAGACCATTTCATCTCACGAAAAGATGCAAAACTTTATTATGGCTGCAAGCTGTTAATGGGTAGAAGAGCAAGCCTAGTGCAATGGGCTTACCTACACAACTTATCAAGTCTCATTGAAAAAAAAAAAAAAAAGGAAAAAAAACTCAACCAGAACAGTGAGAACTTGGCATTTCAATACCCTGAATCACTTCTTTTTAATGTTTTAATCAATTCATTTTGAACTTTTCTTCTCTAACAATTTTATTTAGAGCTATGACATCATAATCCAATCCAATCGAGCTATATACAATATAAGTGCACCAGTGAAATGACAACACCAAATAATTTGATGTCGTGATATATATATATATATATATGCATTCACTTACCAAGTCTCATTGAAAAAAAAAAAAGGAAAAGAAACTCAACCAGAACAATGAGAACTTGGCATTTCAATACCCTGAATCACTTATTTTTAATGTTTTAATCAATTCATTTTGAACTTTTCTTCTCTAACAGTTTTATTTAGAGCTATGACATCATAATCCAATCCAATCAAGCTATATACAAAATAAGTGCACCAGTGAAATGATATCACCAAATAATTTGATGTCGTGATATATATATATATATGCATTCTATCCAGGCAGTAGAAAACACAACATTTAAGTCAATAGAAGAAGCAGAGCAAGAACCAAAGTAGCATGCATTTCCAACAGATTTAAGAAAACAATCAAACTATTTTGTTGTCTCACAGCAAGGCAGCATTAGATGCGAGGTCTAATGGCCACAAGGGCAGACCTCGTTCAGTTTTCCAAAGTTGACAAATTGCTAAATCTGAAAAGCGTCTAAAATTTTCAACAGTCTTACCTATTGCCTACCATCGCTGAAATGATATTAAGATTGCTACCTATAAAGCATTTCTATCATCTGCATATCCAATTATCTATAAAATTCCTAAACTATTCCAGGATGTCACCATATTGACATTCTATAAAATTCCTAAACTATTCCAGGATGAATTCACCACATTGACAATAGATTCTGACAGTGATAACGAGTATATAAAATGAAATAACAAAAACCACCAGTATAATTCAGAAATCAAAACCATCATAGGGCTTTTTATTGGTACATTAGAAGGTATGTTAGATTTTGAGCTACACAAATGAGGGTTAGATTTGAACCTGGACCTCCATGTTGGAAATCCAAACCCAAGCAAACAGGGTGTCACCTCTGGAATACCATTGATAGTACTTGCCATTTTAATTTTTTTCCCTTCTTTAGCAACACACAAAATGCTATTGAGCTCGTGGTTTAGCAGATTATTTCCCCATCAAAAGCCCACATCAAATAAACAAAAGTCAATAATTAAATATAGATCAAATGAATATTGACGTGCCTTCGGAGTGCCAACAGCAATGCTTATATCAATGTAGTCTCTGTATATGATATCATCTCCATCAATTACAGCATTGACAACTGGCTGATACTGAAGTGCACTAACAGCAGCCTGTAAGTAACAGTCAGAAACACATATCACACAGTAACAGTCTAACATCATCAATCCATCATAACATACATGAATTTGGTATTTTATACAATTGACATTTTATGTACCTTGACAAATCCGGACATAAATCCTAACTTCACTCCATGCTTTTCAACAAATGCATCCTTATAATCTGAACGAAGCTTCATCAAATTAGTCCTGCATTATACAGCAAACCATGTTAAAATAAATTGAGTTGGAATTGCACTTTGCTAGCCATCCAAAGAATGACAAAAAAGAAGAAGATAAAACTAAGTTGCAGTTCAAAAGGCATAATAATTCCATTGACTCTTTCTTTCCTTTTTCTCCAGTAGAAACAATATATCAAACATGGAAAAGACACCAATTGCAGAATGACATTCATCAAAACATGAAAAGAATTTGGGGTATTAGTTCAGACATGAAATCCATTTAAACAGACATGTTTCGGCTTTCAACCATTGATGATGGAAAAAGAAACGATGACTTTCAACTCACATATCAACCTCATTGAATGTGGTCAGCATTGCAAATGTATTTTGTGAATCTTTCAACCGTGTTGCAACCCGTTTCCTCAGCCTTGTCATGGGAACCTAGAGTGCGAAATATGAAAACACTTGATAGAGAAATTCATTACCACTAAGGCAGAAAGTAAAATAAATGTAATCATGCATTTTCACACAAAAATGAATAGATCATTATAAAACTCACTCTTCTTTCTCTTTCCTTAGGTGGAAGTTGCGGTTCTGAAGGTTTAGGAGGTGATGAAGGAGCTCTAGCTGCTGGTTGTGATGGAAACAGTGTTTTTTCCTTTCCTTTGAGGGAGGAAGTTTCAGTCTTAGTCGTTCCTTTTCCTATACTCTCTTTTTCTGCTGGTGGTGGGGTCTGAGAAGCAGTCTTTTCTTGTGAGGGCGGAGCAGCTTGTGGTACACCTTCACCTGATTTTGAAATAACAGCAATTTTGGTACCCGGTTCCACAGTTTCACCTTCCTTGGCTACAAGCTACTAGCAATTAAATATAAAATAAAAGGGGGGGATCAAAACAGCAGCACGTATCCATTGATAACTGTGAACAGATGAGACAAAAATTATCAGACTTCACAAGTTTGATATTGCTATAGTTCATAAATATTACCTTTTGAATGGTGCCGGCTTCAGGACTAGCCACATCAATTGTGACCTGGTGGCAATAAAACAATTCAATCATGTTAATCATACTGATTTTCAGAAACAACCAATATCCATTTTTCAGAGTCACCTCCTATCTTTCAAGGATTACTTGTCAGTTTCAATATGAGAAATGGACTCATCTGTCATGTATGTACACAAATGATTGTTGACAGTAACGTGGTTGCATGATAAGAGTTAATGATGGGTGTCTAAATAAAAAAACAGTGGTCATCATAATTGATTAAATAAAAAAAGATTGTTTTTTATATCAGTTATAAATAGAGGGTGATATTAAGAGCTAATTATATAGACGAATAGAGAGAAACACAAAGAGAGCTAGAGAGAAAGTTGAGTTGAGTAAAAATTTTTTTTTTTCCTCCTCCTTGTTTTGTTGTTTGTATTGTTTCTAAGCTTGATTAATACAAATTAGTAGCTCTGTGAAGTAGGCAAGTTGCTGAACCACGTAAATTGATGTGTATTTGATTGCTTGAATGGCCTAACAACTGGTATCAGAGCTTGTTCTTGAAAAAGAGGGCGATTTATCAAAACTCAAAAATCAAAGTTCTCAAAACGTGTTTTTGAATATACCATCGTAAAGAGGAAGACGAGGGGAATCCACTGGTTAAAACCCGGCGAAGAACCAATGTCCTGCATATCCGCACACGCCTACACGCGCAGACGACTGTACTGCCCACTCGCACTGACGCACCTCACGCTCTCCATGCGTCTTCTTCGCCTAAATTCCTGCAACTGAACTGGGTTGACTTGACACATCAACACACAGTCAGCAGCCACAAAAGCAGTTCTGCACAGTCACCAACCACATCATCATAGCCACGTCAGCCAGAAATCCACATGAATCTGCCATGTCATAATTGTGAGGCCCGCATATCTTACGTGTCAGGCACGTCAGCATTCTGGGTTTTGATCCAATGTGGTGCAACGACTATTCCTCCTGACACGTGGCTTCATCTGCAACGTCAAGTGATCCAAAAGTTTGATTGATAAGATCTAAGCCATCCAAAGTTTGATTTGGGTGATTTCAGTATCGTTTCTAACTTTTTTTGCCATTCCAGACACATCTGTAAGGTCAGATTTTACAGATTCAAATCTGAGAAATATTAAAAATGGCAGATGAAATAAAAACTGCGGGAATTGAAAAACTTTATTGGGATAAATTTTGGATACTGGAAAATGCAAATTGAAGACTATCTATATGGGAAGAAACTTCTTCTTCCTCTCTTGGGGAGAAAACCAGAAAACATGTCA